ACTTGTCACTTCTGATTGAATTCTCATCAGGATTCACGGTCTTAAAAATGCTTTGTGCTTTCTTTGTTTTTCGGATTTCCATGTTACATGATAAGGGTCCGTACTATATTTACATATGCGAAAGAACAGTAAATTCTTTCGCAAAATATATCATGTTTTACACTATTTCATAGTAATGTCAGAATTATTCGACACACACTTTGATCACACAGAATGATAATTTTTAATAACGAAGTGATGTGTGTGTTTACGTTTGTCATGTTCTACAACGAATTTCGAAGTGTGAGGATCTCAGCTGATGTCCATTTTGATGTTTCCTGTTCTTTCTTCGAAAAACACTTTATCTGTTATCCTGACTGAACATTTTCACTAACTTACATGTGTAATACTTCACACTGCATTTTGATGTAATCACATCTGCAAAGTCTATTTTTGCTGATGAACACACTGACTACGCTCTTATTCACTTCATTGTTTCATCTGCAGTCCGACGTTGTGATTTTGAATACTGTTATTTCAGGTCAACTTAATCACCATATCATATAGACTCTCATCACGATCGTCCAGATGATCATTCAGACGAACTGTGCAATAGCGATTCAGGAATATACGACTCTCGTAAACGTCAATCAATGCCTCGTTTTAAAAAGGTATTATCCAAGTCTTACTCAAAACGAAGCTGTAATTTATACTGTCATATCACAAATGAAGCATGGAAGGTACCATTGATGTTGTCAACCGTTATTTTAGCATCTTCTTTGATGCTCTTACTCTTGATGTACCAACATTTCTTAGCTGTCGCTCAATAACATTCTCACTATCAAAATGATCTGTAGTCTATGCCTGAATCCATCGGTCTCGCGCGTCAACGTGGAAATAGTCAACCACTGATAAAGCAGACTATGGTGATAATGAAAAACCTCAGTCATTCCATAACTATGTATGATAAACTCTGTAGGCGATAGCCTGAGATTTATCAGGCTTGTGCCTTATTAATCAAGATGTCACATCATAGTTTCAATTTTTTTTCTCGAGGTAAGTCAGCGAGGTGCAGGTGTCCGCTGTCAGTGTTTGGATGTGCATATTGTTGCGTTCTACTGAAATAATAACGCTAAAAATTTTATTCAAAAGCTCTTTTGTTCAGTTTCTTAGCGGCCACGAGATTGTCGATATGACATTTTTTTCGCATACAGAACGTTAATTCAACTAACATGTATTTCATCCGAATGCAAATATATGTGCATTCATTACTAAATACAGTATAAGTGACTGCAACCTTTCCAAAAGATGAAAATGGGGCGAATCATTTTATTTAACTAATTTATATGTTGAGAATTTTTATCTACGACGTTAAAGATACCCTGAACTAGCTGATGAAAATTTCACTTGATGAAAACTGAGCGCATTTTTAATAAATCTTTGCACAAATCTTTGCTGACAAATGCGAAAGTCGAATATTCCAGTTTAAACGTCTGATTAATTTTATTTTGCGGAACAGAAGCTTTGCATTACTTGAAGTCATCATCCGCAAAATACAAGTAATATTTAATAGCTCTCTGCGGGCAATAATGAGCATCATATCATAGCGCATGCGGAAAGCGTATAGTAGTTCTGGAGGCGGAAAGGACAACTAATACGGAAACAATGAATCTATGTCAAAAGTGTTTGCACTGAAGATTATGTGATGAGAAATATATAACCAACCTTGTTTGGAATTACTTTTTGACATTGAACATCACAAGGGTGATGATTATGTCGTGTGATAGTTCTAACAGTTCCACTGAACTTTACATGAGTAAACTGAAAATGAACAAAGTCCACAACCATATACTGACAGCTATCACCTGCACAATGTTGACTGCATTCTAGTAATTCCGTTTTTGTGAAGGTTATTCTGCCCATACTGACGAAAATGGTTTCAGTGAGATAAAAGCCTTCAAACAAGATGCTTCAGCAACAGCTGACAATGTCAGTGGTACTTCAGATGCCTCATTTGTGATATCACAGTGTGTATTCTAGTCAAGTTTTTTTATCAAAGATGGATAATACTAATGTCACTTCGAAGCACTGATTCACGTTTACGAGCGTCATATATTCTTACATCAATAATGCAAAATTCGACTGGATGGTCAAACCGTTGATTGAGACGATAGTTGATAATAATCAGATACAGTACTTCAGTCAACCTACAATCAAAAACGCAAGACTGAAGGCAAAACAATGGAGTGAATGAGGGCGAATTCAGCATGTTCATCAGCGAAAAGACATGTTGCTGTTTAGGTATAAACAAGGCGAAATACCAGGATTCAACATGCATGAATATTTACACCAATAAAATACATAGACCCGTAGCATCTGTTTAGCTATTTTATTTTAAAGCAGCACATTCATTATTTCAGATAATCACATTGTAAAACGCTGTACTTTTTTTAAGGCAGCTAGGTTCAATTTACTTTTTAAAACTTGTGTTTACCCAACTGGTAAGCATGATAGGGGAATCAACACCTTTTGTATGTTTTCTTTATACTGCTATCATCTACTTAGCAGAAGAAGATCAGTTGTCAATGCTTCTTAGGTGAATATTTTTCAAAGATGGTATTATTAGTTAACTTAAGCACAAAGTAGTCGACAGTGACGTTCTTTGAACGCTAGAAAAACAATTAGACATTTCGATCACGTATGTATGTATTGTCATTTATATACTATGACTGTTTATTTGCACAATGAATACAGTTCTAAAATAGTAAAGTATTAGTTTCGTTATAATCTTTTCTATTGAAGTCATGTTTGTGATGGAGGCTTTTTCAGTGATGAACTAATAAATGTATAATAGTTTTGTTTATTCAAGAAAAGCCCCTGATAATTGTTCAAAACGAAACTTGTAAACAACTAATTATTTTTATTTTGGAAAAATCATAGATTTAAAACTTATCAAAGAAATTTGAAATACAGTCCAATTATGATGTATGAATAATCTTGTGTGTGAATGTTCAATGCATATCAATTAGTTCAGTAACAAAGATGAATAATCGAATGATTGCAATCTCTTAATGCTATGCAAAATAATGCATGCACATAAATTCCTTTTACTGTGACATACATATTCGTCAAATTAGCGAACTGCACGTAGAACAATTATTTATATCGAACGTCTTGTGGCCGGCCAAGAACTGAAACTAAAGACAGTTTATTATAGTTTGAAGTACTCAACTGACATTCTGTAATGTGCATCGCTCAGTGCAGAAGCAATATAATCTGTAATTACGTACTATCTAATTAGAGCTGTGAAGACTAGTGTTCTCAATAATTGTTAGACCAACATTAGAAATCTGGAAACATGGCGGTTTCGTCTAGATATGAGACTGATCACCAGTGCAAAGGAAGTTGATAAACAGGCGGATCGCGTTGGAGAAAGCTAATAACCCAACTCGAAGCGATATATCATGACCACGAATATAGAGATAGACAAATATAATACAGACATGCGACACGCGAAATAGACACACATGAATAAAAACGACGAATAGTTGACAAGGTCAAAAGCAAGCGAGACAAGTCATGAGAGCTTACGCAAACCAGACAGTAGTTGGAGTGAAAGTTACGAATAAGTTGTTGCTCCACCAATGGCTTGGTCAAATAAATTAATCAAAAGTGTTTAACCAAATTAAACGTAAGCAAACTCAAATATGTGCAGAGGCACTACGCATTCACGATTTGTTACTTGGGTTCTTCGGACTTGTTCACTAACGCCTAAATTCTGGGACACTGTTCCGTTGGTAACTTCTCATTGTAACGGCATCGTGCGTGATGCAGGAGTCGTAAATGTGCACTGCTTACAGGTCTCATACTAGTACGAAACGGCCGTCCATCGCTTTCAGGTTTCTCATGGTGATCTAATAGTTATTTATTGATGATTTCGACTGTGTAAAAACACCAATCTCTATACATCGAATTGAAAACATCACGAAATGTGCTCCGGAGTGACTAGATTGTGTCAAGATCGTAGGCGTACGCGAACAAGACCTGAGGGCTTTGGTTACAATCCTGTAAGATGCAGGTTTCGTGGATGCATACTGCTGATGATTCCTATACCAAGACGAAACGGGCGTCCTGCGTTTCCAAGTTTCCAATTGTCGTCGGACAGTGATCGATTGATGAATTTAGGAGGGTAACTAGTAAATGTGTAAACTGTTACATGATCAAGCTCTTTAAACTCCATACAAAAATGATCGTATTTCAATTTCATTATTGTGACAGGAGCGTGGTGAGTCTTAGGCCAGTGCCATCAGAAAGTAAAGGAATATGGTCACGTAAATCGTGCAATGGATTAGGTTAGAAACCAAAACCCCTTTTTCCACATATAAGTGATCTACAGAAGTAGTGTCAACAAGCGAGACATTGTCAGTTGTAATTTTGATTTGCTCGGTTTGATATAACTGTATTATTTGAATATGAATTATACAATAATCAGACAGAGGCACTGAAGAAAGTTTACGTGCTGTAGATATGCGTAAGGAGGGTGAGCTTGAACAGTAGGACGCATGAGTTTATGACTCTGCTTAAGTGATGGAAGTGGCTTACAATAATATAAATCGAATTCTCCAGGTTTGATTGAAGATGGATTTTAAGGATGAGAAGCATTCAAGATGCAGCCCTTAGTCGTACACTTGTCGGTAACACTGTTCGAGATGGTTGATAGACTTTGACAATGGAAATATTGAGTTTACTTTGTTATTACAAATTAGCGAGCCGTCGATCATTCAGTTATGCAGAATAGCGGATTATTCCGATCTCGGTAATATCGGATGTAGGATATTGTCACGATCTCATGGGTTTGAAAGCGAAATAAATGGTCTACGTTTCAAGCACTCAGTTTCGCTGCTAGCATGTAAGTAGTGACAGGATATGAGACTTCCAGTTCGAAAAACACAACATTACGCAGTCATTGAGTAGTATCATTATTCTTTCATTATTCATTGATCATTTACAATTAGTTCTCACGGAAATTTAGATAAAAAGAAACGTTATTATCGTTTGCATTGACGAGAACATTATATTGATAATCACGGAAATTTAATTTTATTTTATTCAAATATTTTATCAACAAAAACAGCTAGATCATCTGAGACAATTTTTGCATTAGTACTCGTGCTGTTCTTACAACAATGGAAGCAATAATTGACGTGAAACTGTGAAATCAGTACAAGTATCATAAACTCCAACGAAGTTAGGAAAGTTAAATAAACGATAAAGCACCTTTGCAAGTAAAAAGTGGTAAGTGTGATCACCTGTAATTTTAGAAAATAGTATTAATTAGTTATTTTAAGTTCGAGCTTTGGAAATCGGTGTTTGTACGCATTTGAAATCATCAGTCAATAATTGTTAGACCATCAGGCTTCGAATCATCCGATTTTCAGGAGACGTGGATCTACGCTGCTGATCAGCCACATACCAGAACGAAACGGCCGTCTAGTGACTCAAGGTTTCTAATGGTGGTCTCACAATCATGATGTCAAATGTATAATGATTATTTAAACATTAATAAGGTAAACAGTTGATCCGTTTTACTAATTTCATTACTATTATATAAAACGTGATGGGTCTGAAAAATGTGATTTTTTTGCGCTATTCACCTCAAACATTCTGACGATACATACAGTCTCCAAGGTGTTGTAACAGAAGAATAACAAATACACAGGGTCGTGTGAACATTTTCTAACCTTTCTTACATTGACATATTGCAATAATTTATTTCACCATTATTTACAATACAAACCGACGTCTAATGCAACTTTTAAGAATTTGAACTTTAAATTTTCTTCATTTAAAATGCCTTGACAAGAAAAAGTGTGTGCAAAATGTTCGTAATGCACAGCGCAAATACGTCGAACTTTTCAGATAGATAACGCCTTCTAAGCTTAGTATGAAAATTAGAAATAAAAATTTAGTTACATGAGATTTTAGGTATTTCTCAATGTACTGCACATTATCTGGCACTTTCAAATCAGTCATATTGAGCAAAAGAAAAGTGGATGATATATTTGACAATTCGGTCAATCAAATACTTTCTAACCATCAATTAACCACACATGTCACATCGGCAAACAGTCTGTTGAAAAAAACAAACAAATAAGACTTCAAATCCTAAATATTTGTTATCACATATCCAAGCCTCCGTAGCCACATTTCAGGACATTGATTATTTCAGCTTATATTCCGTCACGAAAAATTCTGGTGACAGCTACGAATAAGCACTAAAAAAAGTTTCAAGTTGATGGTTTCCGCTGGCGATCGGAAACGTGACAATGCTTAATAAGCAAAGATAGTCAGAATTATGAAAATTATATTGTTTTTGTGAAACTTACAAAAAGCATCCCAGAACACCAACAAATAAACGACAAAATCGCGAAAATAAGCTGAAAAGAAATAGTCGAAAATTTTCATTTCAAATAATTTCGTGAATAATCAGTTTGTAGCTCGAGAAACATTATTCATCCTCAGAGAAATCGCAAGCCTTAGCTACCGTGATAATGAGGTCTATCAATTCGTAGTTCCATGAATTTCGTTCTGATAATGCGGATGTTGGTCAAGGAAACGTCTCGATCATGTGAGCTGGTTATTCGAAGATTCAGTTTGCCGATCCTTGTTGTGCGGTACTTCACTTTAATAATATTGAAATGTTGATGTTAATGACAGAAATAGAAATAACGTTTCTGCCACGGCGTAATTTGTTGAATAAAGCAGAGCCGATTAAATGTGAACTTCGATCTCTGTTCAATAAAGCGAAAATTCTGTATTGTGTCGAAAATCTGTTTGATAAACCAGTGAACAGTATAGTGCTTGAATAAACTGCAAAATGATTCACGGAATGCCTGTGTAATGTCTCCTAACCGTACATGAATGAAAGGAATTCATAAGGAATAGGCATTTATATGAAATAAGAGAAGGATATGATCATTCTGATTGTTGTGTATAATTTATTTTTGTCAGTAATCAGTTGACATTGAATAATATTAGGATGTGACATCAACTAAACTGTTTCTTTCTGAATAACCGATATTTATCTATTTAGGAAAAAAATAATCAGTTATCCTTTTTGAGATGTTCAACTATTCGGTGGCCTATACTGAATTGGGGGTAACAGGCGTTAGTAACTAAGAAAGTAAATTTGTTACCGTTATTCAGCTTACTTTGTATGGGAAATTGGAAGCTGCGGCTGCAACAGAAAATGCTATTCCAGATGCCAACAGTAAACAGCAAAATGTAAAAAACAGCATCATCCTTTTTTGAGCAGAATATTTTAGTCTCAAACCCATGACTATAGCAAAGATCGTCACCAGAGTTGGCACAGCAGCAGCTAAGACGTGTTCGTACCAACTACCACGGGGGTTCAATAATGCAACAGCAATTGACATGATGATAGACTGAGGAAAAAATAAGTAATGTGGTAATAAATGGCAAGTGAAGCAGTCAGTATTGAGAAAAATTACTGATCATGCGTCGTACTGATTCAAAGAACAAATGTATAATGGCATTTTGATCTAAGTGCATGTTAAGTTCCTCATACGTTACTCTACAACTGTGTAATTTTATGAAAGAAATCTCGCGAAAGAATTTGCTGACCTACCACACATATAACAATAGGATACATATTTTCATGTAACGAACATGAAACATCAATATCTGAATAACAATCGAGTTCCAGGCAACTATATCAGCTGCACAACATTTCGAAAAGCAAAACCGACTGTTAGAAATAAGATTGAATAATAAACAAGCGTACGGAAAAAGAAAGAAAGAGTGAAATTATTTAGTTCAGTGTTTTAGAGCATCGACATCATCGGAACTCAAACGCAGTGAGTTATTTGTACAGACCATCATTTATCTGTTCACACAGTTACTTATTTGGCTCAGAAAATCTATGATAGCTCTAGACGATATATGCTATCGGATATATACATCAATAGTTCCGTTTTCGAACAGGAGTTTCGATGTAGATTGAATCAAAAGTAATTTTTTCCCATTTTGTTTAACTATTGGCAGTTGTCGGAAGTGTATTTCCAAAGACTTGTTGATAGTCTACATTTTATGTAGTTAAACTATTGAAAGTGGGTTAAAATACAATATGAATAACTTCATGTTGAACTAACCGTTAAAATCATGAAGACGGCGTTCTTAGTGGAAGCAGAGTGAAGGTTTTGGTTCAGCAGTATAATGAGTGCAAATATAAGTGCGATAAATCTGAAATAGCGAAATGAAAAGTGCCGCAAAATAAAATGAAGTGTAAATTGTGTGTACATAAAAAGAAGATCAAAATTTTTGTCTAGAAATTGGCAGCATTTGAAAAAAGCTAAACCTTAACATGTATATTTGCAAAATAATACTACGTTTGTCGAAAGTGAGAACATTCGCTGAGGAATCGTCAAGTAAATCACATTTTATTTATTTCAGAGTCACGATCTGTTGGAATGAATGCACCTTAACGAGGCTGCTTTCATCATCATTACCACTTAGGTTTGAGAATCAATTATATTAGAACCGAAAATTTACTGCTGACGGGGACGAACTCTATTGATTACGTACAAAATGAGATCGACAAGTTTATCAGACTTCATCACTTACAGTATAAGGAGTCCAGATAGGTGAAAGCGATCATCCCAAAATTCGTATTTTGTTCTGTTAAGCGATTTGGTTGACGTCAATTACTTACATGCACAAGCTTCCATCGCACGCCTCATTTTGGTTTGCTTTCAACAGTGCACCAGATGCACATGTTATAAATTTTGAATCATTCACATTGTCGATAGTCCGTGGTACCATCTTTGACTAAATTGGCAAAAAGTTTGTATACAAGCAAAGAGCATATTCAACTGTGTTGATTAAAAATGTATATTGTTACTTGTTTGTACAACTGTTTTTTTACTTAAAAGTGCAAAGTGACAGTTGTGATTTACTAAACATGTGTTGTAGAACAGTGAAACAGTTTGATTCCAGTCAAAATAGGAGTTTTGTGAAGGTTGATCACATTGTTTAATCTAATTGATTGAATAAGGTTTATCTTTTTATGGACCATATTCAGTAATAATGTAATTTAATGTACTGGCATAATGAAATGTATATATTACACTAAGATAAATCCTAAGACTCAGAGCTCATGTACTATAAATTTATAAAACTTTATAAACTCACATTGATCATTTTCAGCAATTATTCAAAAGGACCCAATACAATCTTCAAAATTTATTAGCTGAATGTATTATTCTCTATACAACATGTCTTTATTTATAATTGATCACTGTCTCGCTGAACTTTGTACCGAATAGCGTGTGATCGAATGTGAATATATCAATAGATTATGTTATTTTTTCAGTTATAGATGCAATAAATATGATTAGAGCATAAGTGATGATACTTTTGAGTCCAAAGAAAAAGTCAAGTGTATATAATAAATGAGAGAACGAATAAATCAGATGGAATGTCATCTAAACATTAGAAATTTTAACCTATTTCGTTAATAGTAATAATATTATTTATTCACAAATAGCTACGTTACAAGATGCATGTCAAGTTACAGTCTAGATCAAATTGTTACAAATGTTTTCATATTTACTGTAAAATTAATCGCAGCAAATTGCGTATATGAGACAATTTCTGTAAGCACATTTACACCAATGCCAATGACAGTATAGTACAAATAAAGAAGGTGCATAGTAGGTTTTTTTCGCGGTTTGCTGGTAAAAGTCAATTGGAATGCGCTTGATACGAGCTGTGATCCTAACAATCTTGTCAAGAGGGTTCTGAACAGCGGGAGAGGAGAGAGAGCAGAAAAGGCAGCGTGACAAGTGCATATATAACCAAAGCACTGCTTAACCTATCATGTTCATGTAGTCATTACTTGTACGTTGAAATCGAAATGTCAGTTAAAAGTATAGAGTTTGTGAAAGACAATCTTGCGAGGACGATCTGCAAAAAGAACTGACGGAAGTATTCCATTTCAAAGAATCTCGTGAATATTTGTTTGAAACCGAAAAATAACATTTCTCATACTCAAAATAAATGCGTGATTCGACTACGTTGATAATGTTGTGTATTACGTCAAAGTAAGATGAATTTCCTTTTAAAGAAGCAGACTATTACAAATTGAAGAATTATTTCTGATGATCAAGCCATTGCTGTTGACGAAATGATTCCATAAAACTATGTTTATGTTCATTGTTTATCTATATTATTATTTCAGGTCATCACAAACTCTACTGTGGCTTCTTTTTGTCTGAATTGACTAAGATCGCCATTGTAAATGATCCTTTACGAAATAATAAAAGCACTCATCGACTACTCGTTGTTATGTGTCTTTGATCTGATAAGCATCTATTCAAATAAAACAATCCTATACATCCTCACATCAGAACTGGTGACTTTATAATCTTGGCCGTTTTCATCGGCTGTCACTAATGAGATGTTGGCTGCATCTTGTAACAGACAATAACGAGATAGTACGAATTCAATATTCCAGGTAACTGGATTATCCACGGCACGACCAAGTGATTTTATTATGTTTACTCATCAGTATCCACCTACTGTTTCAAAATGAAGCAGGATTCTGGAGGTCATCAGAACACTCGATTCTGAGAACAAAAGTTAGAAATGTATGATTGGACTACGGTCGAATTGAATTGTGAAAGTAGACTCAGAATAAGAATACTTGAGAATGCTAGTTGCTTCAGCGGATTTTAGTGCGTCCACGTTCGCCTTTCACCTCGTCAAAACGGGGTGCGTATCATATGAGAGTATGTCGACTTGATCAACAGTTGTGGTCACATTACACATTATCGATCAAACTGTATATATGAATCACCAGTATCACTGTGAAGTTAACATCGAAATAATTTCCATATTTTGTACTCAGTATCCTGATGTCATTAATGTACGTTAATAAAATTAAAGTTTTTCCAGTGAAGACAAAGCATATAGTTTAAATGAAATATGATAATATATTCTTTTTTGTTCAATGGACGACAGCCAAACGTTTCCCAATAATCAATAACACTGATTGAAAACAACTTTGTATGGTGCTCGAAAAATACAATTAACTGATTTTAATTGAAATCATCATTCACAGGCGGTAAAACATTTGTTTGGCAAGAATGTTTCAGTTTCTACAAGACGCATGCTTTCATTCTTATCAGATATCATGGAAGCTCCTGCTTTATGTGTGCTTTTTAGAAACACAACAGCCAAGTAGATATCACGTTGTACATTATTTATCTACGTAATTCTTCTACAGTTGTAAACAGTGGAAAATGCCTTCCACATATGTGTCATGAACAAATAATTGTATGATAAGTGTGACTGTGACTGTGAAATACATTTTTCAATATATTGATAATAAAATGATCAAAAACCTTGAAAATAGAAGTTTCAAATATTGTTATAGTTGTCATCAGTAAGTATTAGGACGTGTCTCACTGATATAATCAGATTGAAAACACAGATTCACATTTCATTCTTCCCTACTTCATCACTAAACTTAAATTAGCGTACGTTTATAGTCAGTATGTTCAAGAACGACGATAAAGATCAATAAAATTAAGAAAAAGCAACAGCACGAAGATGAATGTTTTCAATGTTCCGATGATGTTTCAACCACATTCGACATTTTTTCACTTGACATGATCAGTTGAGTTTCCAAATTTTCATAAAATGATGTGATTCAAACTGTAATTGGATCATACGCTGAAGTTTATTTTCGCTGAAAAGGTATATAAGCAGCTTATCAAATACAATAGTTTCGGAGTGTTGTTCACACTCGAAGAGGAAAAGCAAAATAAATAAAAATCAGGAAATGTATTACCAATTTTGAGAAATCAGTAAATCATGATTTCATCTATTTGCATTGCTGAAAAACTAAGGTAACGATAGAAATAATTTTGTGCAATCTACATATTTCAACAATGAGAGCATATGTATCTGGTGCATTTTCAGAATCAAATTACTTCATTTCCAATAATAAATTATCTTTGTGTAAGTAATTGACGTTGGTTGAATGTTCAATATTACACTTGATAGATTAAACACTGACAACTTGAACGATCCAAGTCGTCAGTCTGACACGAGAAGCCATTGTTCATCTGCATTGTGAGCGATATCTATGCAGATATTATCAGATATAGCTAGTGATGCATATAACTATGCTCAGTTTGTCTTACTTGACATATTACTTTCCTCTTTCAGAATTATGACAGAAATCTTCAGTTCTATCATATTACTCATCAGGAATCATACTCTACATCTAAAATGAATACCACATTCACTATAATTATATCATGTACAATGATTTTTATTGTTTCGTATAAATTTCCGTCGAATTATCAGGGATCGTAATGAAAAAATCTTTGTACGTTCCACTGATAATTTGAAGAATGATTTCGGATTAGCTTGCTACTAATGAAAAACAGTGAGATAATCAAAATATAAATTAAGATGACAAGTTATTTATAAAATTTGTTTCAATCATCTTAAACTTGATAAACGAATAATATTATGGGTTTTGATTTCTTCGTATCCTATTTTTTAAATGTTACGAAAGTATTATCCACGTATGTAATCAACAAGCAAATTTATAATCACAAAATTTAATTTTTCTTTTGTTTGCCGATGATGAGAAATATCCTTCATTATTACTTTGCATGTTTAGCTAGGTGCAAGATGTATACATATAGTTTTTCAGCTATCGTGCGCGCATGAGCACTTCTCCTTCTTATCATACTCATAAACAGTAATTACCTGGAATATGGTGCTTGTCCCTCTTATTGGTTAGAAAATTGCGATCAAGTTCAATCATATGTGACAAATAGACATCGCGAATTCCTGTGATCATTCTATGGATTCATTCACATATACACACGCTTAACACAGTATTTTTGCGAATGTTGTAATTACCGTCTTTACTGCTACTTCTATCGAAGATACACGCTTGTTGACAAACTTACTATCACCAGCGAGATACAGAGTTGCATTAATCCCACATTGTGAACACGAAGTTTCCTGAACATAGTTACTCACTTACTTACGTCTGTTACCCAAAATGGAGCATAGGTCATCAACCAGTTTTCTCCAACAAACTCTGTCCTTGCTTCACTCTCTAGTTCTGTCGAATGTTTGTTCATTCCTCTCATATCTTTCTCTATTTCTCGGCGTAATGTATTCTTTGGCCTTCCTCTTTTCCTTTTATCCTGAGTGTTTCATGTGAGGCTTGTCTCATTACGCAGTTAGTTGCTTTTCATAGTGTGTGTCCTATCCACTTCCACAGCCACTTCCTAATTTCCTCCTCCACTGAAATCTGGTTTGTTCTCTCCCACAGTACGTCGCTGCTGATCGTGTCTGGCAAACGAATCCGAAGGATTTTGAATGGAAAACTGTTTACAAATACTTGTATCTTATGGATGATGGATTTCACATTTTCCCTTAGTTTCCTCTCCATTCAGTCGAACTGTCTGGATGTTTGTAGTGAAAATCCTGATTTTGATTTTGATTGAAAGTTGTTTGGAGTTTCAGATGTCCTTCAACTGTTGAATTGTAGCCCTTGCTTTGCCGATGTGTGCCCCCACATGTGCAATGGATCCACCTTGATTGTTGATGATGCTTCCCAGATATGTGAAGGTGTAAACGTCCTCCAAGGCATTTCCATCAAGAGTGATTTGGTTGATGCATGTTGTGTTGCATCGGAGAATTTTGCTTTTTCCTTTATGTATGCTGAGACCTACTGCTGCAGAGGCTGCTGCTACACTGATCGTCTTCTCCTGCATTTGTTGTCGCATCTGTGATAGAAGAGCCAGGTCATCTGAGAAGAACAGATCGTCCAGCTGCGTCCCAAGTGTCCACTGAATACCGTGCTTCCCTTCAGATGTCGACGTTTTCATAATCCAGTCGAAGACCAGAGGAAAGAGAAAGGGTGAGAGTAAGCAACCTTGACTGACACCAGTCTACACCTCGAAAGAGTCTGTTAGCTGTCCTCCGTTCCTGATTTTACAGTTGAATCCATCATAAGAATTTTGTATGATGTTAACTATTTTCTCAGGCACACCGTAGTGTCGAAGAAGTCTTCACAGTGTTTTCCTATCCACGCTATCGAACGCTTTATCGTAGACGATGAAGTCGATGAAGAGTGTTGAGTTCCATTCAATGATCCACAATGTAGCAATTTCGTCACTACACGATCGATCCTAACGAAATCCGGCTTGTTGATCTCGAAGTTTGGCGTCTACGGAGTCCCTCATACTGTTCAACAATACCCTCGTGAAGACT